ATGAAGGTCCAAGAGCCAGGGCCCCGCATCCCCTACTTGCTCTGCAGAGTGTGAGTCTAGAACAGAGGTCAGCATGCATGCGCTGTGCCCTCGCTGCCTGGCACACTGGACAGTAACCCGCTATCCTTGAGTCAATTCTGACTCCTAGCCTAGTGGTAAGGAGTTGTGCTGTCAACTCCAAGGTGAGCAGTTCAAATCCACTAGTTCAAATCTTGCTTGGGAGAAAGATGGGCCACCTCCTTCTGTGATTTTGAGCTTCTGAGGGTCAGCTGGGTCTGTTCTGACTTGACCACACCAGCGACCCTACAGGGCAGAACAGAATTAGGTCAGAAAGTCTCCAAGCCTTTAAAGAAAGACAGCATCCTTTTTCTTCCACAAAGCAGCTATGGGGTTCAAAGCACTGATTTTTCTGGTTATATTCCACCACCAGGGCTCCCTGGAGCTCCTGATGTGCCTTGATTAGTAGCTTAGACCCTGTGGGAGTTACTGAAAATAAAGGAAGGGGAGAATGAAGGAGAGAGAGAAAAGGGTGGGGGGAGAGAGAGAGGAAGGAAAGAGACACACACACACACACACACACACACACAGAGATATAGAGGCAGACACAGAGACAGAGACACACAGAAAAAGATACAAACACACAGACACAGAGAGACAGACACAGACATAAAGACAGAGACAGAGAGACACAGATAAACACACAGACAGACACTGAGACACACACACAGAGAGAGACAGATATAGAGACAGAGACACACAGAAAAAGATACACACAGACACAGAGACATAAAGACAGAGACAGAGAGACACAGATAAACACACAGACACAGAGAGACACTGAGACACACACAGAGAGAGAGAGAGAGAGAGACAGAGACAGAGACAGAGACACACAGAAAAAGATACACACAGACACAGAGACAGAGACATAAAGACAGAGACAGAGAGACACAGATAAACACAGAGATACAGAGACACAGAGAGACATTGAGACACACAGAGAGAGAGAGAGAGAGAGAGAGAGAGAGAGAAACAAAAGGAAAAGGCATCAAGGGACCCCACTTGAGTGGGTCTCTATGTCCTGCAGTGATGGTACTGTGTCAGAAACCGGGCACCCATCTCTTTTCTGGGACTTTGTCCACTCAGGTCCCCTCCTGCTCCTTGAAAACACCCTTTCTTTCAGAAACAGCAAACAGGGCCCCAAGCTCAACTGAGACAGGCTTCCTGAGTGCTAACCGGTGACTCACTCTCCAGTTTCCCTGGGTCCTTCCTCCTCCTCCCCGGCAGGCGGCTCAGGGGAGGCCTGGCCGGTCCTGGGACACCTTCTGGCCAACTGCCTCTCCAGCAGGGGGAGACACTCGACCTCCACTTGAGGTCTCAGAGGCTGACCCTTCAAGTGTCCAGCATAACTTCTTCGGAGTCCGTGCGCCACCTTCCTTCTCGACCCAGGATTGCACCAACCAGCCCCAGACCTTTGTAAATGGTGACCCTGCTGCAGAAAGGCAGTGACAAAGGGCTTTTGTGTTTGGAGGGGAGTCTGTGTTTGTCAACAGAGATTAGTGTGAGCAGAGAAACTTGGGCTGCATTTGACAATGTCGAACTATTTACATACGTGACAAGTGCTGGACACACAGACGCGCACACGGGGCTTGTCCTCAAAGTGACATCAAGGCTAAGAACCGGAAGCTGTCATGGAGCTCTGCGTCTGCCTCCATGCGGCCCCAAGTGTGGCCGAGGCCTTTCAATAGCGCTTCTGTGGCTAGGATTTGTTTGAAGCCTTTAGGTTTCCGTGGGTGACTACAGGACACTCATGTTCCCTCGTTTAGGCCATCTCTGGGCAGACACTGGTAAAAGTCAGTTTGATTTTATCAGTATGTATTACTGCTGGTGCCAGCAGTTGAGGGTCAGGGAAGGAAAACATGCAAAGCAGGAGAAAAAACCAAGTTGGGTCCTCAGGCCTGGAGCTCGTCAAGCTGCCAGCCTGAAGAGGGGCCCAGCACTGCACTGAAGGGCTCATATTACCAATTCAAACACCCAATCGATAAGAACATGCAAAACCCCGCTGGTGCTCCTATTAAAGTCACATCTGTTAGCTGTGGCTGGGCCCGAAGCAAGAGCCCCTCTATACCCAACATGTGCGTGTGCACACATGCACACACAGTTAGGAGGGCCGGGACAGCCAAGCCACAACCCCAAACACGTATATTACCACCCACGGAACCAGGAGAGACAGCCCAGCTGCACTTGCACACATATACACAAAGATAGGAAAGAGGGCCAAAGAGGGACAGCTCATCCACACCTCTACACACACACACACACACACACACACAC